CATCGTTGCCAAAAAATGAGATACGGTGCAAGTATTTTCTACGTGTGCAGTACCTGTGTGCGTTAGTACAGCTCGGCACATGAAGCCGCTTGAGAAACTCCTGTTCCTTACTGCATCCAAAATAATTTTAATTTCTTAAGTCACGGTAAAGCCACTATAATACATTGTTTTTAAAAAAATAACACCTGAATTAGTGGAAAGACCTATTGGAAACGCCAGTGTATTATGAATGGTGGAATTGCCAAGATGAAAAGCAACATGAAGGTTGTTTTGGGGTTGTTTTTTTTTTTTTCTAGAACAAATATTTCAGTAAGTGAATGTGAGTGGCCAGATTTCAAATGTATAATTTGATCAAGGAAAACAAGTATTCTTAAAAGATTTGAACAGATCAGTAGCTTTTGTCTGAGTTTCTTTTGAATGTTTATTTAGGCTCTTTATTCTGTTTATTGCCTCTTTCTATACACAAAAAAAAGATACAAATGTTACTCCTTAAATTTCAGTGTTGTTCCTGTTGTTCTGCTGGGCAGCTGAGGCTGTATATGATGAATTTAATGGTGCTGTAATTCATCCCTGATCGAAAGACTTGCTCCAGCCAGCAGCTCAGAGCAGCGAGGGGTGAGCAGATCTGAGGAGCTGCTGGAGGTGAGGAGTTCAAGCATCTCTTGGCCGCTTGTGTCTCTATAAAGCCGGAGCCCTCCGAGCCTGGGCAGCATCCCCCGCTTTGCTCCTCTCCATTAAACGCTGCAGTTGTTATCGGCTAGAATTTCTTCTGTAAATTTGGGACTCCATCCTGTCATCTGCTGCTGTGGCTCTTTATGTGTCTCTGGTCTGATCTTCAGAGCTCAGGAAACAAACCTGACGTGGTCAAGGTAACTTTTTCCCTTCAGTGCTGTTTGTATTCATCAGCCTCCTGACGACTTAAGCTCCGAAGTACTCTACAACATTTCTTACGCAAACATTTGGTAATTAGATTGTCTTGCTTAACGCGTTTTTATTAACTTCATAGAAATGGATCTTGCGTTGAAGACCTAAGTCAAACCCAGTCTAGAGTATGTGAAATTATATATCCTATATATAATATAATTGCATATTATATATTATATAATTATATTATGAAATGCAGTTTTGGCTTTGGGAGGGCTATTTTATGCATAAAAATTGTTTGCGGAAAGAAGTTTAAAGTTACATTCTTGTATCTTATAAAGTGCAGAAAAAAACAAGGCTTAACGATAAATGCTGCATAAGGGCATTTCTATTTCAAGCAGTCAGATGTGATTATTTGCTGTCGTATTTTCAAGTAGAGGCTGAAAGCAAAATACAAATTATTAGGAAAGCTTCTGTGGCGCTAGCCGTGGGGAACGGGACACGCAGCAATACCCTTCCCATTCTAATTTCGGCACATTTCGGTGTTTAAGGTCGGGAAGGAGTTCCCCTTGCCTGGATGATATTGCAACAAACTTGTTTGTGCTTGCCATACAGGGTTTTTTGCGTGCTGGCTTCAAAAAGTCCCTCATAGGTGCACAGGTATCCTCTGGGGGTTTCTGTATGCGTGTTGCTGCAAATTTGTTGCAAACAGAATGTGGCCTTTTGAGATAATCTTTTACTGTAACGGACACGGCCAGTGGCCAGTTCTGTTTAACTGGAGGATTGAAAAGCAGGGTTTACACTGGTTTCAGTTTACAAATGCCTTTAAGGTAATGAAACACTTCCTCAAGCACACAAATCTGTGCACAATTTTGATTTTATTCTGTTATCTGAGCGCTTTTTGAATGGCGAAAGTTCATAGTTTATAAAACCTGTTTAGTTGTTGCTACTGGTGCAATTAGTACCTGAAGCTGAGCGTCGCTCGCTCCCTTAGGGTGGAAGAATATTTTGGCAAATCCAGAAATAAATCCTAGATGGAAAACAGAAAATGCCTGTTGGACACCTTTCAAATGCTTTGAGAGGAGAAAGTATTGATGCCTGTTTTATACCGACTCTACAAAATCAGGAGATTTTGTTCATATTTTCACAGAGTACTTGAAAGTTCACGTGTACCCACACACCTTCTGCCTCCAGAGCTTGATGGCATCCCTGGAGTCTCCCAGGAGAAATTTGTTCTGTTTCATACCCAACCCTTTTTGCATTGAACTCTTTACACATAAATAGTTGTGTTATTTGTGTTTCTGTTGCGAGTCACCTGGGTTGCGCTTGATATATTTGGAATTTCAGGAGGAAAGCAGATGCACGTGGCAGTTCCCTAATAACCTGAGAGAGGAGGAATGAAGGGGAATTATATATTGTGTGTAATGGGACTTAGTACGAGTTCCACTTGCCCTCGAATTTTGGGATGGGGGGAGTGTTTTGTTCCTTCTAATGCACATGGTAAATAAATATGTAGTGGATGGATGGCTGTTAATCTCCTTGATGCTACATTTTTTTCATGTCAGTGTAATTCACCTTTTAAAGTTTGCTACTTTCCAATACGCTGCTGTAGAGAAAAAAAAAAAGTAAATAAAAATTGAAAAAAAACTTGTTTGGGCTTGCTTGCATGTATGAGAAATTAAAAAATTTACTGGCTCTGAAAAGGAAGCCGTTAATCTCTGTAGTCGAAAATCTTCCTTTGCTTATTGGGGAGGGTGAGCAGGGTAAGGCGACAGTGGAGGGAGTTTGGTTTCACGTGGTGTTCACGGCAGTAGTTGTGCTCAAGCAGTTATTTGCAAAATGCACGTGACGCGGTTGCCTCTCGTTGTGTTCCCACGTGATTTGACCCCGTCGAGTATCGGGGACGTTCGGTCCCGCGCCTTGCAGGGGTGCGGGGAAACATCGGGGAAAAAGGCTGTGGGAAAGGGAGAGATGCAAAGGGTTCGCCTGCCTGTCCCCTCCCTGCGAGAGGGAAACTCCAGTGGAGGAAACAAACACTTCTAGCTAACAGCACGTTGTTCAGGTATTTATTTGCTGATCGAATCGAGTGTTACTTTAAATATTCTGGAAAAAAAAAACTCCAACCATTTTATTTCATAGAATCATAGAACAGTTCTGGCTGGAAGAGACCTTCAAGATCGGGTCCAACCTTCTCCCAGCCCTATCAACGCCACTAACCCACGTCCTGCAAGGCAAAATCTACCCTTTTCTTAAACTCCTCCAGGGATGGTGACTCAACCCCCTCCCTGGACAGCCTGTTCCAATACCTGACAACACTCTCAGTAAAGAAATTCTTCCCAATATCCAACCTGAACCTCCCCTGGCACAACTTGAGGCGATTTCCCTTTGTCCTGTCACTTGCCACTAGGAAGAACAGACCATTTGATTTAATTTTAATATGTGGTCAAGCTCTGATTTTCAGGATCACTGAGTGTCTTCCGTGCATTTCTTTTTCTCCAAACTGTTGCTTTTATATACAGTTTTTAGTCTTTAAAAATGCTACATTTGCATTCATTGAGCTGTAATTTTTTTTTTTTACTGGCTTGTGGGATTTTTTTAAAATCCTCGTAGACCAATAAGCAAGTTGAAAGGCGAAGACTCCTGTTTATTTAGCATCACCCTCTCCACACTTGTTCCCGCAGCCAACATTGCAGCTCCCCATCCTGCCTCCATGTTGTGTCTTTTGTCAGACGGTGCCTGAGGAAGCTCAGAAACATCTCGGAATCTTTTCTGACACTCGCAGGAGTTCAAGTGTTCGATCATGGATTTGGGTGGAAAACGTGCTCGAGCATCAGGAGGCATTCTCTTCTGTTTTAGATCTGTTTGCTTCCTCAGCCCAGAGGTGTATTTTAGCAGCAAGTTCAGCATATTTTTACCATTTTTTTCATTTAATGTAATTTATGGTTTCGACTCTGGGATCTTCTAGGAAAACTCTCAATGTCGTGTCTTGGTGTGACAAGACTTGTGACTGTGCAGGCATCAGGTGGGTTAGTAACATGCAAACGGCACCGTGTGAGGTTGACAAGGAAAAAAAATGCGGTTAAACGGAAGGAAAGCGGGTCTCAATGTGGTGGCAAATTTCTGTGGGGTTATCTTCAGACTTGAGGAGGACTTCTGAGGTACTAACCGTGTGTCTTAAATTCACTCATTTTGGTCTGGAAAACTAGATCTGTGCTCCATGGATTTATTTTTACGCTGTTCTTTTTTTTTTTCCTCCTAGTGTCCCAATGTAATATCAGCTTGAAGAAGCAGAGGAGTCGAAGTATCTTTAGCACCTTATTCTGCTGCTTTCGTGACTACAATGTCGAACCACCATCTACCAATAGCACCAGTGCTCTTCCTCCTTTGGTGGAGGAGAATGGAGGACTTCAGAAGGTCAGGATTTTCTCTTGTTTTGCTGTCATGTGGGTTTCCTGTTAACCAAGGTTTAACTCTGAAGCTTTGTCTTAATAGGCTTCCCTCCCAGGGAACATGTTATGAGTTACAGAAAACATCACTCTCTTGGTGGTGAATTGCTAATCCTACATATTCAGCTGCAATTTAAAACTAACTTTTCCGTGAAGGGTATGGGCACTGTACATTTTACAAGCAAACAACATTTGAAACCTGAGTACGACACTAAAAGATGTGGACTTCTTGTAAAACATCAGGTGCTGAGTGGTCTCTAGCTTTGGTTCTCTTTCCTAAGTAGAGGAAGGTTAAAATGTGTTCACTGGAGCGTAGTGGAACCTACTCGAATGTCGCTTGAACGGGTTTTCAGTGACATAAAAACGGTTCAAAAAGGGGGAGAATTGGAATGTTTGCCACTTTTTTTCCTAACCAGTTCACCTGTATTTAATAGTCTTTAGTCCAGAGGTATCAGCTTTTGGCCATTTTTCCAGGTTGTTAAGTTTTGTTTACCTAATAAGTCAAATTAATTGATATAAACTTCTAGCTCTGTAAGAGCAGCATGTTACTTTCAGTGACTTCTTGCAGCACAAGTGATTTTGGATGTTCTTTAAATCTGGTAACGCTGAGAGTATTTGCGCTATGAAATGAAGAATTTCAGTTCAATACAGCAAACACGAATATGCTGTTTTTGGTACCATGTTGACTTCCAGCACTCTCAAATCTCCGCCAGTGCTGTCTTCAGCACGGAATGCTATTCCCCTCGCCCTTTTCCAAGAAGTTTGAGATTGCAAGTGTAGGTGTATCCACGATGGGGAATAATATCAGATATGGAGCTATGTCGGGATCTTTTCACATATGTCTGCTCTTCACACTGATGTTTCACATTGGTGCAGCTGATTTCTTACCTACGTTGTCCAGCCCATATTTTATTTTGTTTTGAATTTTGCTTGTTACGTTGGAATTCTGAAAAGCTCAGGAGAAGAGAGCAGAACTGTTTCATGTGGGAGGGAGAGAAGCAAAGCAAATTGAAAGCGATGGAGACTAAGAGTGCATGTGGAGGTAAAGTCTGAACTGCAACAGTTCATGTTAAAACTGCTCAGGCAGAGGTAAAGCGCACTGAGAATTCCTCTGCCAAGAGAAGGAGTTGTACGTGTATTTTTAGACTTGCTAGCCAAGGTACATTTTGACTGAAATGAGGGAAATCTAGCCTGGATGTGCTGAAGGGAAAGCTAAATAGTGTGTAGCAGGTATGTGCACGTTCGCTTGAGAAACAAAAGGAATGGGAAACCAATAAAATTTCCCTTTCCACCATGCTAGGGAATGGAAAAGAGGGAGAAGTGAGGCTACTAGCAAAATGATACAACTGACAGAAAGTGAGAACTCATTAAAAGGAAGAATGTAAAGAAAAGAGTTTGGTTTCTCTGTAGGAAACGGAAGTTAAAATGGTCTGGAGTCAGTAGATTTCAGACTGCATTTTGTAAAACACTTAATTACTTTCTAAACGTATCTTGTGCGTTGAGCAAGTGACTGCATGTATGTTCACACAAGTTTCCATCCTTACTCTGCTACCATAGTGAGCAGTTTTGAAGTTTTACAACACTTACATACATGAGCCCAAGACACAAGTCACAGTATTCGTAGAATTACCAGACTACAGCTTAACAGGGTAAAAAAAGTCCAAGGAATATGTTAAAAAGAACTAAAGAGTGCATTTTCTTCAAATATGATGAAGGGCACTCAGATGCGTACAGATCTTCGTAGAAGAAGTCGAGTCGGGCTAAGCTTTTGGGTAGTTCGTGAGTTTAAATAAATCTGTCACATTTCTATTTTAAATGCAGTATTAAAGACTTGTATGTGGGGTATTTTAGGGATGTTTTTATTCTGAGTGCTAGCATGGTTAATGCAAGTAGGAAATTCTTTTAAAGAAAGAAAACCAGTGTTGAAGACTTGGATGTTGGTTGGATTTGGTTGAGTTACACTGGACATCTTGTCGAGATACAGAAGTGATAAATAAGTTGGGAGAAAGCACGTGCCACAGTGGGCCTCAGTTTCTAAATTGGTGAAATTCAGTGTCCAGGAATGACAAAATCACCTGTTTTAGGAAAGAAAAGAAAGCCTGCCGACACATCGCCTAAACTCCGGCTTAGAATAGTTTAAATTCTGCTGAGCTGCTGTTCAAGTGGTCACTTACTTTTATCTGCTCTCTTTTGTGTCTTTTATTAGTTATTATCACATCACAGGTGACCTCTGACCACAGCCCAGTCACTTCATGTGTTTGGCCCTTCCCTTCAAAAATGGAAACAGCAAATTGCATCGTGTTAAATAGTTGCCATTAGAAACTAGTGTAAAATGGCTTGGATGCACTTCCCTTCTGTCTGTACTGTTCACTGGAGTTGCTACATGAAAAATGGTGATAAAGACTTGAGAGAGCAGAAAGGACCGGCCAAAGCTTCTGCTGATTTCGCAGGAATTCAGTGTTTGTTCTATCTTGCTTCTGGCAATATTCTTGAAGTTGATGTGACAAGCTAATTTCCTTCTAATTAGGAGTCTCGATTCTTTAAATGCCAACCTGTTTAAAAGGAGAGAAAGTGAGGCAGAGTATTTTATCAAGTAACTGAAAGTGCAGTTCTGAAATTTTGTTCCGATTAGTTGTGTTGTGCCATTAGGAAAAAAAAAATGGAATCAGTGCCTGAAATGAATTGGTGCTTCATTTAGTATTTTACCAAATGATGTGACTTGATTGTGCTTGGCAAGTCAAGTGTCATGTCACTTCTTCATAGGACTGAAACACCAAACTGAGCATGGTTCGCAATAAACAGAGTTTTTCAGTGCTGACTTCTATTCCATTAGGGGGGGAAAAAAGCCCAAAAACTTCTTTAAGCTATTGAGTTGATTTTTAAACCTTCTACTCACAGAGCAGCTGCTTGTCCAAGTGTGACTCTAATACTGGTAATGAACGGTCCATTCTGTCTCTAAAGTTTCAATACAACATTTTTCAATAATAACTTGTATTTACTGAAACTATGGGGTATTTGTTTTTTCTTAAAACATGACGGCTTTTTCAGCGCAGCACAAAGATGCTTTCGAAAATGTACTGTCTCTTACGGTGGGTATATTGGCCTGTCTGCAGCTTGGGTGCCGAGCCAGATGTGTCGTTGGGAGCCCACAGTGTTCAGCCTCGTGAAATCCTTGCTCATTTTTTCCTGCCTCCTCAGCAGCAGGCAGCTCACCAACACCTTCCAGCCAGGTGGTTTTTTTAAGAGTGTTGGGAGAGCAAAGTAGTGTGTTTTTTTTTTTTCCTTTTCATCCGAATAAATTCAAATCTCAGCTTCTGCTCTGTAGTTAACAACTTGACTCAATTCTTGTGTTTTCCCAGGTTGCTTCTTTTTCCCCTTCTGGGTAAGTTTCTTAAGTGAGTTTTGAAGTGATTGCAGGTACAGATTTCATTTACAGGCTTCAAGGAGGGATCCAGATAAAGATGAGAAAAGGTGGATGCAGACTTGCTCATTCTTCCCTTTGCTTTCAGTCGTGGTGGGTGAGGGAGCTGCCAAGTCTGTCGGCGCTTTGCCGTTTCCCTTCCAGCCCACTTGCACTGGAGTTGTCTTGGCCTTTGTTTCCCGGTTAGATCCAAATCGGGCAGCTGGCTCGCGTTCAACGAGATGAAGCATGAATGAGGAAAGGGGTTTTTTTATACTTGTTGGATTAGAGGAGAAGGTCTTGATGCACACTCGACAGGGAAGAAGACAGAATTAGAGGAAGGTTTATTCTGGGGGCAGCAGCTGCCCTCGCTGCTTTCCCTGGAACAGGAATGAAGCCAGAAAGGTCAAGTCCTTGAATTTCCACCTCACCCATCCTCACCACTACAAAAGTTAGGTCTTCTTCTCCCCACTGCTTTTTGCTGCAACGATGCTGTCGTCTCCAAGGGTGCTGGAAAGCTGTTTCAGTTGTCACATCTTTGACACTCTTTTCTACTTCAGGGGTCTCAATAACACAGGGCAGGAAGAGGGATTTTCTCTGTGCCATGTGAATCTGGTTCACTAGAGCAAGAAAAAAGGCTTGTAAGGAGCATGTTCTTGAGGTCAAAAGCAGTATTGCCTTCATGCAGGACACCTAGAGGAGCAGCACGAGCAGGGACTCTGCTGGGGGACTGTTAATGGCATATTGTCTGCACAGATGTGGACACCAGTCTTGCTCTCCAGTGTGGAGGAAGATAATTGAGATTAATGTAAATAATAGTGCTCTTCCTCCTGCTTTACCTTTGCTGATCAGAGCAAGAGAACTCCTAGAAACTCCCTCCGCATAGCTGTGGTTGGTTCCTCTCTCTCTGCCGGCTCCTTTTGGCCTTTACCTCCCAAAACATCTTCTCTATTAAGAGGCAAAGCTCAATATTCAAAGTCAGTGAAAGAGTCAGATAGTAACTGTATTTTTATTTTTAAAGAACCAATCTAGTGTATGCTTTGAGTTAAAGAAACGAGTATGATAAATCTGTTCTTTTGATCAGCTGCTTCTCTAACGGGGTGATTCTTTTGAAAGGAAACAGCTCCTTAGCTTTGAATCTTTGAATCCAGCCTGTTCCCAAAAAAGCAGAAGAGTGTGGCCAGTCGCTTGTTGCTCATTGATGCCCCTGGACAGGCAGCATTAGGGAACAGACTCAGTCCTGAAAGCATCGTGGGCCTCAGATTAAGATAGCTAAGGGAAAAGATAGAATTTATCATTTCATCTGTATATATTCTACCATGGGGAAAAAAAAAATTAAAAAACATATTTAAATGACTGGACAACAGTGGTTCCTGGGTTGTCTAAGTGACACAATGGGGAAATTTTGGCATTCTAGGAACAGCTTTGTCCTGTTACCACCATCAGGAGCTCGTGGAAAGACTTGAACAAATGCAGTCATCTGTCATCTATTTCAAACGATAGCGTTATGACCTATTTCCCTTCCTGTTCCAAGGCATCAGGAAATGAGGCAGGACGCTCGTAAAAAGTTTCCCAGAGCAGGCTTGTTTTGAAAAAGTGTTTGCCTGTTCATGAGCGCTAATGCTCTACCAGCAGCCTCTTGCATTTATCTTTCTGCTTGTTTTTCCGGTTGTAATCATTACCATTTTGATTTTTGCACAGGTTCCTTTTAGGAAATTTACTTAGTTTGCTTGGGGAAACTTTTTAATTTTATTTTAGAAATTCTGCAAGAAAAACGAAGCGAACAGTAACGCAGGTCCTGTAGCAACTTAGATTCTGGATTTCCACAAAAGGCAGGCTTAACAGCCGTACTGTGGGGTGCAACTCTTGCTTCGGGAGGTTGCCAAAATAGAAAACAAGTTACCCTGTGGTAACTTGCAGGCTGTGAGAAAACCTGACGTGATACCCAGCCATGTTCGTGGCCGTGAATAAGAGAATCTTACACTGTAGCTGTGGATATGCCTCTCCTGTGCTGGTTTTGTCTGTTGACAGAAGAGGAGCTCCTGCTGTATTTTATTCTCTCTAGCGGTGAAGGCGTAAAAAGCCTTTAAAACCAAAACAGAACACGGGTTCACAATCTGTGCTCTGCCTGCGGAACCGGATCCTCGATAAGGATTTGATCTCGGGCCAGCTGATCTCCCTGGCACCTCCTCAGATTCACTCCCTTCTCAAGTGGCCCACGAACCGCAGAGGACCTTCCACTGACAGGACACTTAACAGGCTCAATCGTATTTTCTTCTTTTTGCCGTTATTGTGAGGAAAAACTGGGTCCTTAGACTCGTGTCTGATTTTCCAGAAATCAGATGCTTTTTACTAAAACTTCTTGATGGTTCCTGGTGGTTGCTGCTCTCTTGCTTGCTTCATCAGCTTCTCTGGGTTTTAGTCTAAGTTCAGTAAAAAATTCTGCTGTTGTAGCAATAGAAAATAGAGGAATTTAAAAATAATACTGAATTACTTCTGTCAGTGATGTGTCAACACTGTGCTAGACTCCAGAAGAAGTGAGCACAAGACTACTTTTCAACACTAGAACACCCTTTTTCAGCTGAAAACAGCTCCCTCGGTAGATAGTCAGTGTCCTGGTACTCAGAGCCTGTGTTGTCCGAATAATTAAAGAATAATATTATCTAGTAAGTAACATCTGTGCTAGAAAGGTCACCTTCCTTTTATTTATTTATTTCTTTATTTATTTAATGTGCGGTGTCCACCAGAAAACAAACACTTGTTCTTGACAGATTAGAAAGATTAGAAAAGCCGGTTCCTACTTCCCGACATGTCTTATATTTTGAGTCAGTGACTTGGTGAGCAGCCTCCTCCGCTGGGAAGCTGCGAAGATGAACAAAAAGTGTCGTCGTGTCCAGATGTCGGGTCCCAATATCAGAAGAAAACATCAAGTCGGCTGAGACTTGTCTTGCCTTCCCCCGAGCACGATACAAAAGTGAGAACATGGGAAGGGCACTGATACTGGTTCCACTTTCTGGGTGGAGAAAACGGGATTCCTTGGATTAGTTCATCGTTGCCACGTCCTTCTTGGACGTTCTGCTGTTGCCTGAGTGAAAATGTTGGTTTTATTGAGGCAGTTTTTTCAAGGGAGTGGGCTCCGGCCCTGCTGCCGAGGTCTGGCTGAGCCTCTTGTCGCTGCAGTGAAAATAGACAAATATACCCATTAGTAGAGCTTTAAGCTGAAAAAGTTACAGTAAATACAGGTACTTTCTTATTGTCATCTCTTATTAATCATAGCATGGGTTTTACTGGTCCAACCTCCTCAAAGTCATAAATGCCAATACACTAACCAATCATTTCAGCGACTAAAATGCAAGATCCTGGTTTTAGTTTTGTTTTTTTTTTACCCTGATTTCCTGAATACTTTGAACTTTTGGTTTAAAATGTTTGAGTGCTACATTTACTGCTTCAGACCTTTGTTCTACCCTTAAAAGCCATTACCCTTACAGTGATTTTTTTTCTTTTTTCCCAGGGTGACCAGATGCAGGTCATGCCTATACCAAGTGTATGTATTTTTATCCCTTTTTCTTTTAATAATTTTCATAACTTTTGCTTTGAGTCATCTTATGTTGCAGTCTAACAGGTCTGGTTTGTGTTGCATGTTAACAAAAGGATTTTATGTTCTGTCTGCAATGTTGTGTATTTGGAGATGAACCCAACTGCACGTGTTGTACAGGGGCAAAAAGAAGAGTTTGGGTTTTACGTGGTTTTCATCTTGCATCTCGGTTAAATTCGTTTCCGAATTTTTATCATTTTGAAAATGCGTGAAGCAGTCTGAAAGTTGAAATTATTTTGATAGAGACGAAAGAGAAATCATTTAGTATTTACGCTAAAGAGAAATTACTTATTTTGATATCATCACTATGTGGGGCACACTTACAAAAGCCTCTTCCTCCAGGTATTCCCTGTATTCTAGTTGAAAATGAGAGTTAGAAACTGCGTAATTTTTTTGAAACAAAGACCACGGTGACCACAGCTGG